TTTTTTCTCCATGAAATGTATGAAATCCCAGCATATACGCTCCCGATAAATATTTGTTATTAAAGCATCAACATTCACAGAACACTGTTATTTTTAACTAAAGCAAGCGGCTCAGACATATCAGTTAATCGCAATCTCTGTTATAACACAATAAATATATGCAAAATGAATCTTTCATAATGTCTACAATTCGTGTGTTATAATGAGAGGATTCGTGAGCATGCAAATTTCAGCACTGCATTGCTCAATGCTGCAAACACGTATAGCCTAAATAGAAAGTCTGCATACGCTTGCACCTGTTAATCGTTTATATTTTATATTAGTTCATGTTGCTTTTGTGCAATAGATGAATAACAATATATTTGTTTTAGATATTTTATGTTTAGATATTTCTATTTTGCGGGAGTCCCGTAAACCATTTTATTCTCCCGCATCCCGCACACACACGAGTGTCTACCCGCACCAGCACTTGCTCATCTTGTCCCGCGCTGCACTCTGTTGCGTCGGGTCTCGCTGGAGCAGGTCTCTAATCCACTGGCACTTGACTCCACAGTGCGTGTGCTACATCTGTTTTACAATCTCTAGATTATAAAACAGTGCATTCTGTCAGCAATGTAACGCGGCAGTAACGTATAGAGACCTCGGCTTTGTACCTATACTCTAATTACTATTTTGAAAATTATAACGCGTTAAATTACTCCGTTACTAAAAAAAGTAATCAAATTACAGTAACGCGTTACTAAGTAATGCCTTACTGCCCAACACTGATTATTAATGCCTTACTGCCCAACAGTGTACATGCAAGTAATGCGAGTTACGTAATCAGATTACGTTTTTCAAGTAACTAGTAAAGTAACGCATTACTTTTTAATTTACAAGAGAATATCTGAGTTAATTAGTTACTTTTTTAGGGAGTAACGCAATATTGTAATGCATTACTTTTAAAAGTAACTTTCCCCAACACTGCTGCCCAACACTGATTATAACTAAGACTTGATTTATTTGATAAAAAAATACAGTAAAACAGTTATATTGTGAACTGTTTTCTCTTTCAATATATTTTAAAATGTAATTTATTCCTGTGATGGAAAAGCTGAATTTTCAGCATCATTACTCCAGTCTTCAGTGCCGCAAGATCCTTCAGAAATCATTCTAATATGTTGATTTGGTTCTCAAAAAACATTTATTATTATTATTATTATCAATGTTGAAAACAGTTGTGCTGCATAATATTTTTTGTGGAAACTGAAATATTTTTCAAGATTCTGTGGGGTTTTTTTAAATACCAATTTTTGTAGCACAAATGTCTTGCCGAATAAGTATTAATTACTGAATAAGTATTTAATTTTAAAAAACGTATCTGATCCCAAACTTTTGTTATGTGCAGAACACACAACACACTCACCAAGCTCTTCTTTATCCAGATCAATCTCCTCCATCACTGATGGCATCAGAAAGGAGAAAGTCTTTCGGTTGAAGTAATACAGCATGTACCCCACAAACATTGAGATGAATATAACTGTGCGGTAATATCCATAACCTGCTGCTCCCATGATTGCAGTTGTGAAATTATTAATAAATACAAGCAAAAAATGTCAAATAAAAGACAATTTAAAAAAAGGCTGCAATATCAAGGCCAAAAAGTGTGCTGGATGAAAATCTTTCAGTCCTGAAAACCAGTTTTCTCCAGATTAAACTTTACAAACTTTGAAAAACTGATCCAAAGGTCTAATTAATTTCATCTGACTTCTAAGGAGGGTATTTTCAGCTCTCCAGGTTCCTTAAAGTTGCATGGGTGACATGCAGCCTCTCTTCGGCCGTCATTCACTGATGATGTTCCTGAAAAACATCTCAGAGTCAGTTTACTTTGCTGGCTATGCGCACAACTTGCTGTGAAGTTGGCCTGCATCCAAACACATCTGAGCAAAAACAAAGCATCAGCACTATTCAGACATTCAAAACAAATCACTCCAGACTGGAGTTCCATGAAAAGGTTATCCACACTTTCTACAGACCTCCTGCAGTCTAAATGTTAAAGAGATACTTGAGTGGGCATGGTGGTGCTTGTGAGGGGGATTTGAACAGCTATATGACTTTGAAACATGATGCAGGTGTCAAGGGAACGTCTCTTGCAAGAATGCCAAGACACCAGATAAAAATAACGTTACACGCTTGCTTCGTATTGCAGGTGGACACATGCGCTCTTATTGCAAGAACTGATTAAACCGACGACTGTTGTGTTAATAATAATAATAATAATAAAGCTATAAAAGAGATATGTTTGATCTGCCCTTGACATCGCGAGCGAGCACGCACTGGTCCCCGCACAAGAATATAAAAACGCAAAACCGCGCGATGACGTCACTGCGTCAAAACAGCGAACGTAGTAACAACACCGAGTCTGACCTCTACAACAAGCGTCCTCAGTACCACCGTGGAGACTAAGCGTGTTATGTCATGCTAAGATACACAGCGATAATTCTCGACATATACATTTTGTTTAGACAGCTTAATGTTTCTTTACTGTTTTATATATAAGGATAAATGAATAAAATACCTCCGACAGTTCGGGCTTCTCGTTCAAAATCCTCGCTATTGCAGGAGCTCCTTCTCTAATCTCTGTTTTGATTGGCTGCCAACCTGTCATTTATGGCGCGGTGGGCGGGCTTTAGACTTCTTGCGGTCCTCAGTGGCATAAACTTTTGCTGTAATATTTACTGCATTTGTGGAGTAGTTTTAAATTTGCTCGAAAATTACAGCATTTCAAGAGAGAAATTAAAGTACCAGATGTATAAGTATTGAATTGCTGGACTGAATTGAAATGAACTTCTGAGTTGAACTTGGAGTGAGAATTTCCAGTTTGGGGGGTTTGGTTGGGGATATATGTCACTCCTGAAACTTTGCTGCATGTACAGGGTATGAGGCTTTTGGTCCTGTTAGATTATATGTAGCGTAGAAAGCAAGCAAATAGCGCTTGCATATAATCACTAAAAATCTGTCACTCACTTCACTTTATCACAATCTTACAATGTACCGTTATAATCAGTGAATTATCTCTTACATCACGTCTACACTTTATTACAATGAGAAGATTCGCGAGCATGCAGGAAAAAATCCGGCGTTTAGATATGGGCGAATTCTGACTAACTTGAACACAATGGCCAATCACAGGTGAAATCATCAGATATCCCTTACCAAAAAGTAGTATACTTCAAGTTTATTTTATTAAATATACTTAAGTAAAGTTCAAGTATATTTTTAAGTATACTTTATGTAGTAAGTATAAAAATATCAGTGTACTAGTAGTATACTTGTAAGTGTACTATTTCAATACAATGAAATAAACAAGATTTTGAACAAAAAGCTGAAAAAAGATTATTAATTGGATTCAGAATGATAATCAAAACGTAGATGGAGTCGATCAACACCCCAAAGCTTGACAGTCATTATTACCTCTTCATAGGTCGACATTTTATTCTATAATGTTACATAGTTTTGATACCGTTTTATGTCTGATGATCGTGTTAGATTACATGTGGAAGCATCTGTTGTTTCGGTTTCTTCTTCACTTGTGTTTTTGGAGTAGATCAACACACCAAAGCTTGACAGTCATTATTACCTATTCATGGGTCGACCTTTTATTCCATAACGTTGCACAGTTTTGATGCTGTTTTATGTCTGATGATCGTGTTAGAATACATGTGGAAGCATCTGTTGTTTTGGTTTCTTCTTCTCTTGTGTTTTGGAAATTCTGTACAGAAGATGTGTACTACCATATAACAATGAAAACACGGATTCTCGGGGCACAAGTATAGCTCAAATATATTTAGACTTTTTCCTAAGCATAAGTCAAGTATACTTAAATGTCATTTTAAGTATATTTCTGAGAAGTACATAAAATTAGACTGAAAGTATACTTTCCTATTTTTTTAGTTTAAAAGAAGTATACTAATAGCACACTTGAATAAACTTCTTTTTCGTAAGGGATGTCTTGGCTACATCGCTCAATGCTACAAAACAGGAACACGTTGTAAATAGAAACCCTTGACGCTTTCCAGAGCGCGAACACAAATACGCACTGGAGCCTTTACCAAATCTGCTTCGCCAATATCCTATTATTACAGTTTTAACTGAGGGTGCTTTTGACCGCGTGAGAAAATAGACGTGTGGCGTGAGAACAGTGTCAATTGCGTAAGTCTCAAGCTAAATGCGTGAGAGTTGGCAGCCCTGTGCGGTTACATTAATTTTAAGGTTTTACTGGAACATTTACATTAATTTATCGAATAATTTAGAAACAAGACCTACATGTCCAATGGTGCTAAAGCAAATATGTGGCCCATCATTGCACTACAACCACAAGATGGCGCACTTAGAATGTATTATGCCGTGTCTTGTCTTGATATTAATAGACCGAATGATAACCTTCAGAGACCATCTAGTTCAAAATAGATTAAATAATTCAATCGTAGATTAAAGATTTGTGAAGCCTGTCCTTCAATCTTAAATTTCAATGTCATATGTTTTTGACATGTCACATTTTTATTGGTGCAAGCTGTCACATGTTTTTTAAATGTTGTAATTTCGTCCAATTTACTATTTTGAATTTCTGTTTCATTTCTAATGTTGAGTCAAATTAATTGTTTTGTTTCACAGTTGTTTCACAGTTTAAATTTCTGCTGAAAAGCATATATTAAACAATTTAGTTATCTTAAATTCTAATTAATTTAAATTATTATAGGCTAACTAAATTATTAGTTATTCAATGGCAGGTTCCCATTGCCCTATAGTGTTAAAATGGTGAAAACATGCCCTAGCTGCTTGTTAGATTCATTCTTTGGACGTTTATTTTATTTGTGATTTATTCTGTCAGCAATTCCAGCGGTGTTCCGTTGCAGCGCAGGCCTATGAGAATGAATGAGCAGATCAAAGCATTCTCAGCTTTATTCAGGAAGAGAAGTCATATTTATAAAGGAAAGGAAAGGGCGTGACGTGTGGCCCATACTCGAAATTTGTGCCCTGCATTTCACCCATCCAAGTGCACACACACACACACACACACACTCTTCTCTTGTGTTTTGGAAATTCTGTACAGAAGATGTGTACTACCATATAACAATGAAAACACGGATTCTCGGGGCACAAGTATAGCTCAAATATATTTAGACTTTTTCCTAAGCATAAGTCAAGTATACTTAAATGTCATTTTAAGTATATTTCTGAGAAGTACATAAAATTAGACTGAAAGTATACTTTCCTATTTTTTTAGTTTAAAAGAAGTATACTAATAGCACACTTGAATAAACTTCTTTTTCGTAAGGGATGTCTTGGCTACATCGCTCAATGCTACAAAACAGGAACACGTTGTAAATAGAAACCCTTGACGCTTTCCAGAGCGCGAACACAAATACGCACTGGAGCCTTTACCAAATCTGCTTATTTTATTTGTGATTTATTCTGTCAGCAATTCCAGCGGTGTTCCGTTGCAGCGCAGGCCTGTGAGAATGAATGAGCAGATCAAAGCATTCTCAGCTTTATTCATGAAGAGAAGTCATATCTATAAAGGAAAGGAAAGGGTGTGACGTGTGGCCCATACTCGAAATTTGTGCCCTGCATTTCACCCATCCAAGTGCACACACACACACACAGCAGTGAGTAGCGAACACACACACACCGTAAATACACAACCAGAGCAGTGGGCAGCCATTTTTGCTGCTGCGCCATTAGGAGTTCCTTGCTCAAGGGTCTCACCTCAGTCTAAGGTATTGAGGGTGGAAGAGAGCACTGGTCACCTACAATTCCTGCCAGTACCGAGACTCGAACCCACAACCATTGGGTTACAAGTCTGACTCTAACCATTAGGCCACACCTGCCCCCATTGTTATATAAACAATGCCAGCCCAGAAGTCCCAGACATCCAGACAGGATGAGAGAGAGAGAGACGTCACTTCCTGTTTGTTGCTGCCGTGTGTTTTGAGTTTGAGCTCCATCAAGTTAATTCTTTGTCGTCTAATTTTTTTTATCTTAAAATCAATTTTATACACCATAATTTTCGTTTCTATAACGTGTGAATATATCCCCTATCGTATTCTACAACAAAAACAATCAGAGCGCCTAATCTGTATTGTTAAAAGCGCTATATAAATAAAGGTGACTTGACTTGACTTGACATCCAATCAAAGTATTCAGAAGTTACACATTATGAAAAGGAAATATAGTTACTAATAGTTACAGTTACTAATTATAAGATACAAAAAAGATGTTCTAAGTGAGTATGTGTCTGTCTAGATGTCTAGCGGTTAGTTTCTCAGCCAAATTTGCTCAGCACAGTGTGTCTGTGAAAAGAGGAAATACATGAAGTATCTAATTAAGAAATAATGAGACAAGAGAGTGAAGTCTTGAAATAATATTAACAATGGGCACTTTGAAAATGAATGGCGATGTGGAATTAATAGCTCATTCTGATCAGATAGGGAACTTGACTGAGTCAGTGCAGCTGCTTGTGAAAGTGGCCATTGTCAATGTGAAGGGGCATGCAACAGGAGATTCAGACAAAGAGGAAATGGCCGATGTAGCTGCAAAAGAAGCTGCTAAAAAACAATGTACAAAGAAAATTGTAAATGCAGAAGTTGCTATGATGACACACATAGCCAGTTTGCCTGACAGTGACATTGGAATATTTCATACCATCAGAGGCTGACTTGAATTTTTGGCATCAAACGATTGTCAGCCAGACAAGCAAGGAATTATTAGGGACCCTGAAGGGAAAATAGCCTGGCCAAAATTGACACTCGTGTGTCATTATCATGGTCTGTCACACGCTAGTGCTGCAAAGACAGCACAGGCTGTCAGTGCCTTATAGGCCTATTGCATAGCAGATGTCTACAAGACAACTAAATTGGTTTGGACTCATGTTCAATCTGCACAAAGACCACCATCCATTAACCAATAAGTCATTCAGCCTTACACTGTGTCTACACCGGATGCGAGTGGCGTGGCGCAACACGAAAAAATACTATAGAACCCAATATAATCAGTGATGCTGTCTACACTGGATGCGGCACGACACGACATGACAAATCCCCGACAGTAAACTGCTGCCTAGTTCTATTTATGACACAAAAAATTCAAATGATTTGCAACGGTCGCTTTGTCGCGTCCAGTGTAGACAGACTTTAGCTGTTGCGGCGCTCTGAGCGACACAACTGTCGCATCGAGTGTAGACATGGTGTTACCATTCCCTGAAACCCCATTGCAAGAATTCATATCCTGAGAATGAATAAAAGTCAAAACGGCTTGCCATATTGCAACATTTTAACACACATGCCACCGGTCCAAAATTGTAAATATATGTTAGTGATCATTGTCAGATTTACAAAGTGGCCAGAAGCTTTCCCATGTTCAGCGGAGGGTGTGAAAACAATGGTTAAAGTTTTATGTAAAGAAATTATACCAAGATTTCGGATACCAAATATGAAAGTAACTGTCACCGCTGGGGTTAGGCTACTGACAGAATAAATAACTGATAAAATAAACTTCCAAAGAATTAATCAAACAACTCTGGGGGCTCGTCCGTGTACCTGATTACAGACTACATGATGAAAATTGTAGTTAGTAAGGTAGATTACTCATCTTAAACCGAGAACACACTACACGATTGTTATGCCGATTATGAATGTAATTTGGTCTTGAGGACGCATCATGCCCAGTCTGACCGGGTCGGTTTTAGTTGGGCTCAGTCGCTGTTTGCAGTCAGCAGAAAAAGTCATATAGTGTGTGGTGTCTAAAGATTATAATCTTAGAATTTAAAAAAACAAGTCGTTGCCAGTTCTTTTCACAAAGATTTTTTTTTTAGACATGTTTAATATTTGCGACTGACACCAGCAATTGTATATGCTGCTATGCAGTGGAGATGTGCCCACTGTCAAACATTTTTCATCGTTAATTTTGTAATTTTGTCAAAATATTTTTATTGATTACACATCTTGTTGTGATGTTTTTTTATTCCACAGTGTAGCATTGCATGTTAAATGATTTTAGACTGTGTGTGTTTTTTCTGCTCCAGTCGTTGGAAACAGTCTTTAAGTGTGTTCAGTCTTATGTTTCAGTCCTGTAGTGTGTCCCAAGCTTTATGTATTCAGACTGCTTTTTAGATTACTTTTTACCTAAAGGCTGGGATACATGACACAACTTTTAAACCATAAAAAAGTAGTCTGCAGTCTGATAATGAGTATTTTATTATTCAATATAATCCATTATAATTTTATAATGTAATATAAATATATTTACAAGTAATCCGTTTTTGGAATCTGATTACGTAATCCAGATTACATGTAATCAGTTACTACCCAGCACTGAAAATAAACATGTACCCTGTGAAATATCCACTGGAGTAAAATGTGGGACCACTAGCCCTGGTGTCTCAAAATTTCAGTGATAATGTCTAAGAGGTTGTTAAATTACCCTCACTTTTAAAACACAGCACAAAGTTCACTAGCTTTCTGACATGCTGTTTAGATTTTAACAGACAAATGTCATAGGAAACACTTAGAAGAAAATTGCAGTTCAAGTGACAGTATAATGCCTAATGTCTCTATAATGGATCTGTCCACCCACGGAAATGTTCAGAAATCGTCATCTCCATGTTTAACTCGTTATGTGTGTTTGTGCATGTGTGTGTGAGTGAGACAGACAGAGAGGTCTTTGTGTGATTTGTCAGGGCATTTTCAGCTTCAGTATTTGCACTACTTTTGAATCAGACTGGAGTAGGGAGGAAATCTCATATTGAAACACTACACATAAGTATGATAGAGAGGGAGAACAGAAGAGAGGAGCAGTGTCAGTAAGAACCGCCTGTAGTTCGTACCAGCGATCTACTGCCAGATTTGTTCCCTCTGTTGCCATAGCAACAGTCATTATGCATAATTTCAGTTTGTAGAGTTAATATTCAGGAACTGGTACTATATCTGTACCTGTAGTATCATGGTAAACAATGGTTCACAAATGTTCTTTATTATGGGACTAAAATCTGAAAGTGCAGGTGAAAAAGTAAAATCTCGCTGTCTGATTTCCATCTCAGTCTACTTTGATTGACTGATTTTAACCTCAGTCTAATTTCATTGACTCCTCTTGTCTGATCTCATTGTCTGATTTTACTTTCTGATATCCAGCTTTATGATTTCACTGTCTGACAGTCTGATTTCACCATCTGATCTCCACCTCAGTCTGATTTTAGTGTCTAATTTCCAGCTCAGTTTGACTTTACTGTCTGATATTGAACTGACTCTGATTTAACTCTATGATTTCTTCCTCAGTCTGATTTTGCAGTTTGATCTCCACCTCTTTCTACGTTTCTACTTCAGTCTGATTCCATTATCTGATATCCACCTCAGTCTGATTTTACTTTATGGCAGTCAGTTTTCACTAACTGGTTTTTACTTCAGTCAGTTTTACGCCTGATTTTACTGTTTTATCTCAATTTCAGTTTGATTTCAATGTCTGATTTCCACCTCAGTCTGATATTTCGCAGTGATGTACACCCCAATCTGATTTCACTTTCTGATACTCAGCTTTAATATTTCATTGTCTGATAGTCTGATTTCATTGTCTTATCTCCACCTCAGTATAATATCAATGTCTGATTTCCAGCCCAGTTTGACTTTACTCTCTGGTATCAACCTGAGTCTGTTTTCACTGACAGTTTGATTTGCCTCTCTGATTTCCTCCTCAGTCTGATCTCCACATCTGTCTGATTTCTACCTCAGTCTGATTCCATTTTCTGATATCCACCTCATTCTGATTTCACTTTCTGACTGTCCGACTACCTGATTTTCACCTGAGTTACACATTGGTCTGATTTCACAATTTTATCTTCATTTTAGTTTGATTTCAATATCTGACTTCCACTTCATTCTAATATCTCACTCTGATCTACACCCCAGTTTGGTTTCACCATCTGATCTCATCCTATTTTAAATGTCTGATTTCCAGCCCAGTTTGATTTCACTCTCTCATTTCCATCTCGGTCTGATTTTGCAGTCTAATCTCCACTGCTGTCTGATTTTTACTTCAGTCTGATTCCATTGTCTCATAGCCAACTTCAGCTTGCTTTTACATTCTGACAGTCTGACTTTACACCTTAATATCCACCCAGTTTGATTTGCATCTCAGTTTAACTTCACTGTCTGATATCCACCTCATTCTAATTTCACTGTCTGACAGTCTGATTTCACTCCATTATTTTCACATAAGTCTGATTTCATTGTGTGATCCCCACCTGAGTCTGATTTCACTGTGTGATCCCCACCTGAGTCTGATTTCACTGTGTGATCGCCACCTGAGTCTGATTTCACTGTGTGATTGCCACCTGAGTCCTTCAGTGTCTTCACCTTTTCAGTGTCTTCACCTTGGTCTGATATCTAACTCTGATCTACACCCCAGTCTGACTCTGATATCCAGCTATATAAGTTCACTGTCTACAGTCTGATTTTACCATCTGATCTCCAAATCAGGCTGATTTTAATGTCTGATTTCCTGCTCAGTTTGACCTTACTGTCTGATGTCAACCCAAGTCTGATTTCACTCGCTTATTTCCACCTAAGTCTGATCCCCACCTCTGTCTAATTTCACAGTCTCATCTGATTTCATTGTCTTGTCTTCACCTTGATCTCCCTCTGATCTGCAGCCTAGTCTGACTCTGCTTTCTGATATCTAACTATATAAGTTCACTGTCTGATCTCCACCTCTGTCAGATTTTAATGTCTGATTTCCAGTTCGATTTGATTTCATTCTCTGATTTCCATCTCAGTCTGATCTCCACCGCTGTCTGATTTTTTACCTCAATCTGATTCCATTGCCTCATAGCCAACTTCAGCCTGATTTTACGTTCTGACAGTCTTACTTTACACCTTAATATCCACCCCAGTTTGACTTCACTGTCTGATATCCGCCTCAGTCTAATTTCACTGCTGACAGTCTGATTTCACTCCCTTGTTTCCACATAAGTCTGATTTCATCGTGTGATCCCCACCTGAGTCTGATTTCACTGTCTCATCTCCACCGGACTCTGATTTCAGTGTCTTGTCTTCACTTCAATCTGATATCTCACTCTGATCTACACTCCAGTCTGATATCTTGCTTTCTGATATCCAGCTATATGAGTTAATTGTCTACAGTCTGATTTCACCATCTGATCTCCACCTCAGTCTGATTTTAATGTCTGATTTCCAGCTCAGTTTGACCTTACTGTCTGATGTCACCCCGAGTCTGAATTCACTCTCTGATATCGACCTCAGTTTGATTTCACTGTCCGATTTCCATCTGTCTGGTTTCACTTCAGTTCAGTCTGATTTTGCTGTCTCATTGCTGTGTGTCCTCTTTTAAACTCAGCCTCTCTGCAGTAATTGAGACAGACCATGGCAGCTTTACTCATGTGGGATGATCTGATAGGTGAGAATTAGACATTGTGTGATGATCAAGAGGAAAACCCACACTTCACAGCATCTCAGAACCATCTCAGAACCCTAATGGATAAAACAAAGCCTCATTCTTAAGGTAATGTTATTGTATTTCTCATGTTTTAAGAATTTCAGTTGGTGACGTTGTTGATGAGTGCCCTTTGTCTCCGCTGCCATCTCCCATCAGCATCCACAATTGCAGACTTTGTTTTCTGAATGAGAGGACGCATTCTTCCAAAGGGATGACCTCTCTTCTCCCTGCTGGCCCTGGCACTGCTGACACCAGCCCAGCAGCCGTCTCTCCCTCCATATTTGATTGTCTTTTCTCTCTCAAAGGCCCCCAGCCGGAAATCTGACTGATACACAGAGTGTGTAAATTATTGTGTCAAGGCAACGAGAGAAAGATGGAACATGTAAGTATAGCTGGCTTTAAATCTTTTAAATTTTCTCTAGAGCAGATGCTGATATGCGTTCATCTTAAATGTGAAAGTGTGAGATTTATAGTGTTTAAATGTTTTATTGTCACAGTTTTAAAAACTGGAAAGGATCGTTTTAAAATTCACAGATGCTTTTTTATGCAAGCTTGAGATTGTTCTGAATATATGGAGCTTCAGCTTTCGCTGACAGCCAATTTTAGCAACACAACCATATCTCCCTCGGGACACAGCCGAGACAAGTGTGAGGCACCAAGCAGTGCTGCCTTTTTATTGGTTGTTGAAATGTTTGTCTAAACAGTATGAAGTGAATCTGGGCTGCTTGCATAAGACACTGGGACAGACAGGGTGATTAGGATGCTTAGGAAGTATCTTAAAGACTGAATCATTGATGTGGAAGAGAATGTAAAGGATTCATGAGTTTCTGTTATTTGACTGTTTTGGAGAACATTATAAATTAATCTCATAAAAACATTTTCATTTTCATAACAAATAAGCACATTCACCCACAAACTGATTTTTTAATTTGTTTAATTTTTATTAATTTATATTCTAAATTATTTGTTGTAAATTTATATTAAATTAATATTGTCAAAAATGTGTAAATTCTAGAAGTTAGCATATTATAATTTGTTAAATATTTAACATGTGCCATGATGCAGGTTTGCTGACCAGATATACTTCACTCAGTGTATATACTTTGACTCCAGTCTAAATTCCTGGCAGCGCTTATTATTTTGTGACTTACTGAGGCACACAATGGTTTGACCCAAATCTAACATCCAAATTATTGACACAGAGAGAGAGAGAGTGTGTGTGTGTGTGTGTGCGTGTCTGTGTGTTTACATCTGGGATTTCAGAGCTCACCTATTTCTAAACAGAATTCTCTGTTCATCTTCCTGTTTGATGCAGTGTGTGTCTTTAATGCCAAACATTCTGCATAAATTGTCATGAAGTCATATGCTGACCAGGAATACATACTTAATATAATAAGTTAATTTAGATTCTAGAACATAGATTCTCTATGGGGTTCAGGTCTGGTGAGTTTGCTGGCCAGTAATTTGGATGAAAGCTATTGAGAAACTTAAGTTTAAATGAATTCATTGATTGAAATATCAGGAAATATCAGGAATGAATCAATGAAAAATTTTTTTCCAGGCCTGTAAAAATGGCCACAGTTATGCTCTAAAACAGTGGTTCTCAATTCATACAACTGCTCTGCACATTTTGTATGCTACTCTTATCACTTCAGACATTTGTTCCATTCGACCCTAAATGCCCTGTGAAGTGGACTTCACATGATATTCTGCCATGATTCCATTTCCAAGGGCATTGATTGCATTCAAAGGGCATTAAAGTGTGCAAGTCGTTTGTGTGTGTGAAGATGCTGTAGGCAGTGGCGTTGCGCAAATCCGTGAATGAATGTTCCGAAGTGAGGTAAACTTCAACGGATTTCCTGTGTTCAGGGAGTAGGGAGCAATGAACACTGTGTAGGGACAATGTCAATTGGAACACAGTTCATGCATGGAGCTCTCTTCTAACGAGCTGGTTATCTGAATCAGGGCCCGTATTCACAAAACAATTTATCTTACCACTAAGAGTTCTCCAAAATAGAGGTAGATGTTTTTAACTAAGAGTGTTCTCTTAAAACCTACTCACAAAGCTGCTGAGACAAACTTTTACTAACACAGCAAAATCAGCAGTGTACTATTTGCAGTGTTAAAAGTTATTAATGTCCTAAATGTTTCCAGATATACAAAGTTAGGTTTTAATGGAGAACGATATGTCTGCATCTGTCTGTATTTTCTATTCACATTATAAATAACATGGATAAATTAATAGTAAGATGAATTGTAAACATGTCTTAAAATCTATTCTAGTGTGTCACACTTCATTTTAAGATGCCTTATTACTCATGTTACTCAGGTTTTGTGGCTATTAACTTTAACAGTCATTTAATTGACCCTAGAATGAAGGATGTGAATATAAATAATTTTGTGATTTGACACCCATGTATTATAGACAGCTTTCAGCATACTCAAAATTGGGGGTAATCAGAATTATTTTATGATATTTACAGTCCTAATTTAAATTGAATTACTGAATTGTTTTTTTGTAATCCTTTTTCAATAGAATTGGCCCAGACTCCTGCAGTGCCAAGAGAAGAAAGCCCCTCTCATAAGATTGCAAACTGTCTGATGACACTGTTCTTCTGAGTGATGGAAGCCCTTCAAGAAAGAAGCAGAATACTGAAGATGAAGCTAGAACTGTGAGTCTGTGTCATTTGTTATTCTATGTGCAGTACAATTTTTAAAACACACAAATTAATATGAAAAATTAAAGTGTTACTAGGTCAGCCACACAATATCTGCCTATGTTCACACCTGGAATTTACTAATTATTATTTTATAATATTTAAATCTGCAAAACGTTAAAGGGTTAGTTGACCCATATTTGACGCAACATATTTTCGGACGCACGCTCTCTGTCCGCTGGTGGGAGTGTGCTCACCTGTGTAGGGCCGTATGAAATCCGTTTTATTTTTTCCCAAACTCTGCTTAATGTCTTTTTCCAAATTCAGCTTTTTCCGTTTTAATTTTTCTGGATTCCGCTTTTTCTGTTTTCATTTTTCTGGACTCCTTTTTAATGGTTAAACTAAATGTTATTAATCAAAAAGCATGTCTAATTAATTAAAATCATGAAACTTGTACAATTTCACATCAATTTATTAAAAGTTAAAAAAACTGCATGCTTAGGGCCCTATGAAATGTTTTTTTTTTTCTCACCATATGTTTTATCGTTACCAAATTCTCTGTTTTAGCATGTCTGATCATTTGAATGCATAAAAATAACTTAATTTATTCAAATTTATTCTTAAAATAGCCTTATGAAATGTTTTTTTTTTTCCTCATAAATTCTGTGTTGTATATTTAAATTTTTCTGGTTATCAGATGAAGGCATAATACATTAATTTCATTCATCTTTTAATTATTGAAAATTAATCAAACTTTATTTTTTGACAAAGGGGATTTACTATTAAAATATTTACTTTATTAAAACATTTATTCAAATTTACTATAAAACATGGAAGAAATGCTGTGTGATTATTCCTTAAAAATTTAAGTTTTATAATTTTAGTAGTAGCACTAATAGTATTAGTAATATTATGTACATTCTACTGAACAATATCTCTGGCACAGTGTCTTCAAGTTAAACCGAACTTTTATTTTGACGGGTTGTCGTGAATACCTTTAAATATCTGTGTGATATGAGGCTAGTTTTACTCAAATGAAACTGTAAAATGCTCATGAGTTCATGTATTTATGTCCTCATTTAGTGAGACGGCAGACTCTTGATTTTATGTCTGATCTTGTACACCATATAATAGTGTTTTTTTTTTTTTTTGCACAGAAAAGAATACTTTATTAATAACACTTAAAGGAATTAAAACAACGCCAGGGCCCGTATTCACAAAACATCTTAAGGCTAAAAGTAGCTTATAACTCGCCGATTTAGGAGAAAATCTTAAAAATAATGGGCGTGTCAGTCCTAAACTTAGGACTCCTACATTTTTGTTCTAAGAGTATTTCACAAAGCGTTTTAGCATTAAAACTAGCTCCTAAATCTGTGAAACATTAGGAGTAGTGAAGAGGACTCCTAAGTCACTAAGACCAAATCTGAACTATTTTAAAATGGCTGTTTCCAGCAATCTGCCTCGGAACGTAAACATTTTAGAAACATTTGATGATAATGAGCTTTTAAAAAGGTATCGGCTTTGGTTTGGAGGTTATCCCAACTCCAAATTTTTGATTATATCCTTAATATATTGCTGTTCTCACGTCCAGTTTGGTTTTCTTTTATGTTTGCATGTCTTATATCAGCCATGATTATTCTACTCTGTTAATTAAAAGGCTGTTTATATTTTTATATTGACTAATTATTTACGAGAAGCATACATATAAGAGGCTGACAATTAGCTGAATATATACTTGTTTAATTAGTGACACTTAGCCTGCATTTTAAAATCTTTATTTGAATGTGGCAATTAACATTTTTTATTTTAAAACCTTTATTTGTCCTCATTTGTAAGTTGCTTTGGATAAAAGCATCTGCTAAATGACTAAATGTAAATGTTATTTTGTCTCCACAGAGGAGCCGCAGCTGAGACACGTGGAGAAAGATGTGTTGATTCCTAAGTTGATGCGGGAGAAAGCCAAAGAGAGATGCGCTCAACATGTGGACGGTATGAATCTCAGCTGCTGAACACATACAGTGTAGTCTCATCAAGCCTCCCATAAGATAAAATGTTTTGTGAATACGGGCCCAGGGGTGTTAAATATCCCATAGTGTAAAACTTGAACAACAATAGCAAGTGTAACACTCGCAGTGTAATTTTTCTACACTATAAGGTGCTATATTAACACTGGAAATTCAACACTATGTACAGTGTACTTTTTACACTAGATAGATTGAGACCATATGATCTTTAGTAGTGTTAAAATTTACACTTTAAGTGTTAAATTGACACCGTGTTTTGGAATAGAGAGAAGTCTTAAAGGGGTCATATGATGCGATTTCAATTTTTCCTTTCTCTTTGGAGTGTTACAAGCTCTTGGTGCATAAAGAAGATCTGTAAAGTTGCAAAGACTAAAGTCTCAAATCCAAAGAGATATTCTTTATAAAAGTTAAGAGTCAACCACGCCTACCTAACACACCTACCACCTCCGCTCACTCAAGCCGGCCTCCGCATACTCTAGGTGTGTGACGCTTTTTCGTTGTGAAAGCGAAACTACTTTGTTTGGCCTTCCAAAAGAGGACACGACTAGAAA